ATATATATATATATATATATATATATATATATATAATGAGAGTTGACTTATGAATTGAACCACCAATTGAGCCGGTTATTGTTCATTGGTTTATGCTAAAATAAAATCAACCTTCTAGACACCTCATCTCTTCCTTATTCTCTTCATTCTCTATGGAATCTTTACCTCATCGTCGGCAATCATTGTAAATAAAATCAAAATGTAGAAATGAATATTTTCTTTGTTACATAAAGAGGACAAGATAATTACCCAAATTCAAATATAATTGCAAGTCGCTTTATTGTTTAAAAAAGAAAAAATCAAATGATATCAAAATATAAATATATTTTTATATAAGGACTTTAATGTAAGAAAAATTAGGACTTAAATGGTAAATGTTGTCAAAATGTAAGAACATTTCCCAAATAAATATAGTTGAAAGAGGGAAATTGGGCATAAAATCGAAATCCACACTTAACCAACGACGACGAAGAGTGCAGAGCTGCAAAATCTTCTCGTCCTCCGGATCACCTATTCATTGCATTCCGCGAGGTAATCCTGTAATTTTCAACTGTGGTTCGTGTATGTTATAAAACCTAATCGATGCAGCATCTTCTGCGATTTTCTAGATCATGTCGTTTGGTGTTTTGGTTCGGTAAAGTTATTAATTTCGACGTTGATCGTCTTCTATTTGACCGAATGGGCAGTATGATATGCGATCTCGCCGAACTTTTTACTTAATTTTGTATCTCATTGGCTTACAGTAAAAGATCTTGCGAAATACCTTCAATTTTTGGAAATATACAGTTGGATTATATAATAAGTTTTTTAGATCTATGGGATTTTTTTACTGGATAAAATCCATAGGTGAATGATCCTCACGGCGTACTAGTCAATTTCCCATTGCAATTCAAGCAAAATAGCTTTGATGTGTCAACCAGTGTGCCAAATTCTATATGCTTTTCTTGTAAATCTCTAACAAATATATATGTCTTTTTGTTGCTCCAAATAAAGTTCAATTTGATCGAATTTTACTTTTCACAAATGGTTTAACATTGATGTTAATTTCCAAGTTGAAAGTAGCCTGTTAGACCTTAAAACACAAATTTCACCTCTTTAGGGAATAAAGAGGCGTCTTATTTTTGGCATCACTACTGAGATATGAATTTGTGAATCCGAACCAACAAGCTTGTGTCATGAATCATGATTCATGAAGTATATACATGTTGTTAGAGATGAAATTGATTTGTTGTATAGTTTTGACTCCTACCTTGTCTTTGATTTTGATCTTCTTTATGGAGTATATACATTTTCCATGAAATGTTAATACACATTCTCCCTTTTGTTTTCCAGATGCTGATATGCAGAGTTTGAATTAAGAAAAGGAAGAGTCCCATTTCTCCTTTTTTAAGGTGGAGAAGATCTAAACACTGAGATATAACAGGAATCATAAGAGATGTTTTCCCTGTTTTATGGACTTTGGAAATATCTTGTCAGCAAGACTGAGTTTCATGTACTGATTCTTGGAATCGACAAGGCTGGAAAAACAGTAATTTTTCACTATTCTTTCATTGATTACATACTTTAAAGAAAGTTATGCATTTAACATGTCTATTTACAATTTACAAATGATTAATACTTCATGTGTAGACATTACTGGAGAAATTGAAGACACAATATTCAAGTTTAGAAGGCCTTCCCCCTGATCGAATTGTTCCTACTGTTGGGCTCAATATTGGTCGAATAGAAACTTCAAATACAAAACTTGTCTTTTGGGACCTTGGAGGTCAGGTATTTACAATATAATCCTTACTCATGATGGAATTTACCAGTTAGGTCCCTTTTATCTCATACCTTAAAACACACAAAGTTTATTATTATTGCAATTCAAAATAATTGCTGTTCTTGTGACTGATGCTTGAGTTTTTATATATTCATAGTCTGGTCTTCGCTCAATTTGGGAGAAATATTATGAAGAGGCACATGCTGTTATCTTTGTAGTTGATGCTTCTTGTCCATCACGTTTTGAAGATTCCAAATCTGCCCTTGGTAAATATTCTTCTTTTGTATTTACCTGTTACCCTTTTGTGGAAAAACTAATGTTTGCTCTTTTTGTAACTTGAAATTTGTCGATGCCAGAAAAGGTGCTTAGGCATGAAGATCTGCAAGGTGCCCCTCTTCTAATACTAGCCAATAAGCAGGTAAATACACAATAAACAAAAATATATTAAATATTAATATTTATAATTTACAAATAAATTTATTTTTAGGATCTTGCTGATGCTGTATCAGCAGAAGAACTTGCTCAGTATTTGGACCTGAAGAAATTAGATGAAAGAGCTTATACATTTGAAGCTGTTTCAGGCTACGATGGGTAAGTAAAGTCAGCAATATTTTTATCTTTTTATTATAATTCAAATAATTTTTTATTTGTAAAATTAGAATAAATGTATTTTGTTTTTAAAATTTTATTGCAGGACTGGAATAACGGAAACTGTGAACTGGCTAGTAGATGTTATGGAAAGAAGTAAGCGGACTGAGATGTTGAGAGTTCGTGCAGGTGTTGCAAACAGCAGTGGTGCTTAGACAAGTTATACTTTTTTTAACTTTAAAATTTATGAAATGATTTATTTTGTGTAAAAAAGAAGTGATAACTTTGTTAGAATAGTGATATTTTGGGGGAAAAAAAAAACTAGAAATGATTTGAATCAAAAAGATAATAGGTTTGAATCTTTAATATTAAAAGTGGAGTTTTGTTTGGGATGGAGACTCTCCATAAACTTGAGTTGGATTGCTTGTTTATATATGAGAAAATGTCACTGTAACATATTAAAGTTATGTTTTTGGCTCGATTGGGTCAATATTTATTTGCACTACTGGTTATTTAAGTTACAAAATACCTCAAGTCATTTTTAACAATTTAAAAGGTTTAGTCGATAACAGATCTGACCTGGCATATGACATGGAAGGGAAGACTGTTAAATGAGGTCATGTCTACTCCACGTCAACTCATGATCTCCATCTACAAAATAGATCAAACCCTTGTTTGGACTACTATCGCTTTCCTTCTTACCAATTTTTGGTGAAGCTTTCAACCCTTATTCCCTCGACTTCACTTCACAAAACAATGTTGTCTTTGTTTTCATCCTCACAAAACTCTCTACTAGAGTTGTATAACTTCTGAGAATCCAACGGGGTGAAGACTCGCTGGTGCTATAAGCATGCAAAGGAACGAACCAATTGGAAATATGAAAATTCAGGGCGGAGATTTTGGAACTACCGCAATAGTTTGGTGATCACAATCTTCCTCCTTTGGTGTTATTCTGCAAGAAATATTAGATATTGTATGTTTTCTTTGTTTCGATAACCCTAACAAAACCCTTGGTGTGTAACATGGATTGAAAGAGATGATCTTGACATTAAAAATACAAACAAAGTTTTAAATAAATCAAAATCATAAAATACATACGTGTACATAGTGTCTAGTATTATTACAATGGTTTTGGTTGATGATTGTGTAATGTGTATAATATGGGTGAATATCGTTTTATAGTGGTTTTGGTTAGTGTCTAGTATTATTACAGTGGTTTTGGTTGATGATTGTGTAATGTGTATAATATGGGTGAATATCGTTTTATAGTAGTTTTGGTTGATGATGGTGTAATGTTATTATTATTATTATTTTACATTGTAGACTACCTTGAGAAAATGTGGGTATTTTCTGTGGAAATATGAGGAGCTAGAGGAAGGGTACTACAAAAGCTTAATCAGGACATTAAAGCAAAAGCTAGGACAGCAAGGAGGACATGTCTGAGTTAGTTGAAGATGTCGAAAACCCTATGGGACCCTGATCCCGCAGGACTCCATTTCTGTGTGGTGGTGTGTTTATAATGCTTTGGGGGTTCAGGGGTGGGTTTTACCCCTCGTTTAGTTTAAGGGCTGAGAGTTGCGCCCTGAATAGCTCGTGAGGCCTCCAAAATAATTACCACAAATCTAACTATTTTATTTAGACAAAATTGCAAAAATGGTCTCTGTGATATGTAAATTATTGGGGTATTTTAGTCTAAATCCTGATTTTTTTGGATTCATGGTCTTTTTGGAGTGGTTTGTATGTGAAAATAGTCAATCTGAAAATTGAAATGACTATAATACCCTTGGTATTTATTTTTCATTTTTCTTTCATTTTTTTTTTAAATTTACTATTTATTTATTTATTTTAACAATTAAAAAAATAATAGAGGACCCACCTCTCTCTCTTACACACCTAGTCGTCCATCGGCACCGAATGTAATTTCAGCCACCGCCACCATCAGTGGCAACCGCTCATCTGCCACTATCCACCATAGCAAAAGCCTAAACTTTCCAAAATCAAGAACCTACACAAGCTTCTCATAACTAAACTTCTGTTGAACATATACTACAACAGCAAGAAGAATTGCAGTTACAGGAATCCCAATATCCCCAAACTTTATATAAAAATCAAGATGCACGTTCACAAATTCATAATCCTCAGAAAAATATGGGTTCGAGATTGGGATTCAAATATAATCATAAACATGAGGAAAAAGTCGAATCACGGTTAACTCGATAAAAACTCAGAGCTTTCGAAACCCAAAACTTGAAAAAACCTTCCTCATCGCCTCCACCGCTATCTATCCTCTTGTCCCCTTCCCCAACGACTTACCCATTAACGCCACCACTCTTTCCATTGTTTCAACCTCTTTCTCAATCAAACCTTCTCTGCATTTACCCCCGACTGGAAAAAGCCAAAATCACAAGAAAAAAACCTACATAAAAAACAGAGAGAATTGAGAAGGGAGATGTGGTGGTCGAAGTGAATGTCAGTAGGGCTGTAGTTGGGTGACGGTTAAAGTTAAACTAAACAACACCGATTTAGGTTCTCATTGCGTTTCTGGATGAACCCGATTTGGGGTTTTTTTTACCCAATTCAAAACAGAAAGAAATGAGAAGTGAGATGTGGTGGTGGCCGGCAATCTCTTAACAGGAGGTGTAAATGGTGGTAGATAAACTTCCAATAGCAGTTTTTGATTGCATTCTTGGCTCTCAATCTTTACTTGAGCAACAAACAGTCAAGTAGTAGAGAAAAAAATTTGGGCCTTCAACAATTTTGTGAGAAGATGGTGGTCACATGTTGTTTTTGTGATGAACAGGAGGTGTAAATAGTTTGGCTTCAAAGTTGATGATCAGTGATGTAAATGGTTTGGCTTCAAAGTTGATGATCAGTGATGTTGATTTTATGATGATCAGTGATGTTGATTTTATGTAGATGGAGATGGGTTTGTTATACGCATCGTCTTCAATATGTGTGTGTGAGACTTATGTGTAAGTTTAAGTTGTGTGTCTTTTGTACAGAGAGAGAG